AAATAAGTAACTGTTTGTAACCTTACCTCAGCTAAGAAGGCAGAGGGTGTCAGTCTTTTCTGCTCAGATTCAGCTATCGGAGCATGAAGCCAATGTTTACTTACAATGCTAATGCTCTCTTACTCTTTGGCGTTCAAGAGGTAGAAGAGCCAAATGGCTGGCTCACTGCTGCCAACTAGTGGTCAGAGGCTGAACTAAACCTTAAAAAATCGATACAGGGCTTTAGAATATTGATACAGTATCGGGAAATGAAATATCGTGATATTTCAGTGTATCGATATTTTCTTACACCCTTAATGTATACTGTAAATTCTCATGAAAGTTGTAGATGTACATCCAATAAATATTTCTAAGTCATTCATTGAAACATATCCAGCTGATCATGAAATACTTTGGAACACAACACATGAACACTCTTACACAAAACCACAGGAGAAAAACATTAATGTCCGTCTTTGCTATTTTTTCAGGCAATAAGAAATATTTTTACCAGCTCTCCTGAGTCACAAAATACATTCGCATTTCTAGCAGATGCCCAACACTTAAATTACAGGCAACAAATCCCCACTGCCTGTGCATTACTGCGATAATAAAACAATCAGAAAAGAATGATATGACAGGAAAATAAACAAACAGTAAATGTGTAAAGTGTGTGTGTGGGGGGGTGGGGTGGGGGGTCGAGCCACTGCACTCACAAAAGTGAGTAATAAACACAGTAATCTGACACAAGATGTACTGGCACTTGAGGAGATGATTAGCCCGACTGAGCATTGCCAACCACGTTGTTTTCTCTGTGGTTCAGCCTTTCTAGGTTACCCAGGCTGTGCAATGACCTCTGACGGTGAACACAACGGCTGCACAATGCCTGGGCTCTGGACAATAGCTCCAGCAGGGTGGACTGTGATAGTCTGTGACAGGAGCTTTGCTCTGCCACTTTAGGAATGGGTGGACAACTTTAATGACTTAATCAAGCAAAGCTAATGGGGAAACCCCAAAACACGGCTTCTGCCAAAAATAGATGAGCGAGGACAAGGAAAATGGAATGCATGCGCCTTTTGCACCCACACACGCTAACTTTATCTCGTCCTTCCATTTCTGGGAAGTGCCAACACCGAGCCCTCCCTTTCCTGAGAAAAGACACGAAGAAGATGAGGCCATCTGAGGACCGTCAGGGCCAACTTCCTCTAGGAGACAGGAAGGGGAAGCGAGGAAGAGTGAATGGGGGGGCTCCTGAGAGAGCCCAGAACAGAAACAGTGACATGAACACAGTTCATTGTGTGAGTTTCCCCTCAATGTTATTGTACAAATTGTTAAAAACATGTGCCCCAGTGGACAGTATGTGTTCTGTACATGTAGCCTTCCTCAAACACCAATGTTAGGTCACCAAAGTTTGTTTGGATTGTTTGATGAACAATGTTATTTTCGTGGTTGAGCTGTTGGCTTACTCATCTGATTGTTGTAAAACTACGAAATAAAGCTCCTCTCAGATAGTCCTGATGCATCTCAGTAATCCAGGTAGAAAACAAAATCAAAAAGAAAAAATATATTTACAAAATTCATTTTTTCTTTTTGACTCCTCTCAGATACAAACAACTTCATATACCACTTGCTAATATAAACATCATTGTCAGCTGCATGTTTAGGATTGTACATTTCAAGTCATTTTTTTGCCAGTACTGTTGTGTAAGAAGCAATAAAATACCTTCTGCTTGATAAACTTAGTTCCCCAGAAATTTAAAACTCATTGTTATGGTAATAGATCAATTCAAGAGCTTCTGCCTCTGTTCACATAGGACAACTTTGGAATTAAAATATACCTTTAATCAATAGATGCTTTTTTAACATTGCTAAAATAATATGAAATGTGGTAAAAACTGTGGCCAACATGCTCGAATGATGGTAGAGCAATTGAACGCTTTCATTCAAACAGTCATGCACCACCAGGGCTGGGTAAAAAAAAATCTATTTAATCGATCTCAGATCGATTTAATTTAAATTTGGGAAAATCGATTCACAGGACATGAGCTCGATTCCTCCCCATGGCGTATTGTACGCATGCCTGAGGCACGTTTCTATATTTGTCACTCCTGGCTTGCCGTATATTTACATCCGGTTGACATTCATTGCTAACATTAGTTTTCTATAACAAGTTGTCTGGATAAAATCAAAAGAAACTAAGGAATCATTAATGTTACCAGCCAACTCTCCGCAGAATTTAAAGACAACAGAGACTATGGTGACTTTTGTTTGCAAAGATTTGCGCTCCTATGTGGTAGCGAAAACAAAGTGGGGTTTGACGAGTGTCTCGGCACTCGAACATGATTCGAACTTTTGTGCTGGTGTAGAGGTAACCCTGGTGAAAAAAAACTTTTCTATTGTTTATTTTCTTTGTCTTTGATTTTATTTTTTACAC